ACCGCACCCCTCCCCCCGTAGGGCCTCCTTGTCGGCAGCCAAGCTGATCATCACCCTAAACAAGGCGTCGCTGTGGTCCTCATTAGCCTCCTCAGATGACGAAGCCGCTGAGCCCAGCCGGGAGGTGACCCCCTGACTCCAGCAGCTACAGCTGCAGTGAAGAAGGGCTCCCCCGGCTCCCGGTCCCCCAGGACCCACAGCTGTCCCCCAGTTGTGGGCAGGGAGAGCTGTGTGGACGCCCCTGGGACCATCACACCCCCATCCTTGGTGTCTCGGGGTGTCTTCCTTTCTTGTAGGGCCCGTGGGCAGCTCTCCCAGGGAGGCCTGGGGCCTGGACTGCAGGGTCGGGTCTGGGTGGGGCTTCGCCACTGGGTCCAGGGATACTCCGCTCCCCTTCCCCCCAGCAGAGTGGCTGAGGTGCGGGTCCTTCCCTTTTTTGGGACAAGGGCCTTTTTGAAAAATCTAAGGAAAGACACATGTGTCATGTAAAATCCTGAGAACCTGGGAGCCTGTCGCTTTCCCCTCGACATCTGAGTGGTGTCCGATGACAGCTCCACGTGGGGACAGAGCAGCTCCAGGACCCACAGACCACGCCCGAGGCTGTCTGGTGGGACGTGACCTGTCCAGGGCCCAGGAGGCAGCCTGTTCCGGGTGGAGGCACCCACCGTGGGTCGGAGCAGGCCCCCACCCCAGCAGGCAGGCCCTTTGCTCAGCTCCTCTGGTCTCTGTCCACTCCCTGTCCCCGCTGCTCCCCCAGCATTGTCATTTTCTGCCCGGGAGGTGAGGTCAGGGTCCACAGCCCTGCTTCCCTGTGACGCAGCGAGACTCCCGACTGATCCTGAATGATGGGACTTTTGGCGGGTCCTGGCCTGGCCTCGAGCCCGTGGCAGGGACGCCCTCCTGCTACCCCCCGAGGAAGCCCGCGCTTCCTGGGGGCCAGGGCAGGCCCACGGGGTTGTGTGTGCCAGCCTTTTATGTCTGTTTTATTTTGGTTTTATTTTGTGACAACGACCTGTCTGCACACTCCGTCCTTCGTAATCCGCTTGATGCAAACTGTGAGTGAAAGGCTGTGGCTCCTCCCCCTCACCCAGGACAGCGACGCCTCTGACAGCTTCTCATCTCCCCCTGCAGGTGTTAAACCTTTCGGAGAAGAGATACGACCTCGCAAAGCTGAACCCAAAGGTACACCCTCCGCCCCCCGCATTCCGAGTTTATAAAGCGTCCCAGGGGTGCTTGTCCCGCTGCTACCAGGCCGTCTGAACTCTTTCCTGCCGTGACTCGGTGGCAGGTGGCAGGATATGTCCGTGGGTTACTTTTTAAAATTAAATTTATTTTATTTGAAACAATTACAGATACACAGGAAATTGCAGAGTAATGCAGAGCGATCCCCTCTGATCCTCTCTCTGCCCTCAGAGCATCTTGCATAATGAACAGGGAACTATCAGCCCCAGGAAACCGATGTTAGCACAGCCCACAGATATAGGCAGCTTCCAGCGGAGTTTGCACGCAGCCATGTGTGTGCTCACGTGTGTTTTCACATGTGTGCCTGTGTCCCTGAAGGTACCCCGGCCTCTCCCTGAGACATCTGTGTGTTGGTTCTGGGGGAGAAGCTCGCCGCAGTTTCCCAGACGTGACTTCCGCTGGATGGGGGAACTGGGGCGGCCGTGGGGCCCAGAACCCGGGTCTCCGGCCTTGCTGGCTGCCCCTCCCCAGGGCTCACACCCTGGCGGCTCCTGGGAGCCCCTTCAGAATCTGCCACCAACGCAGGGGAGCAGATAAGACCCGGGAACAGGAGTCTCCTGGGGCAGAGTAGTCTGTTTTTTCTTTCCCGGCCCAGGCAGCCGGTTCTTTACCCTCGGGCGGAACGTGTCACGGGAGCAGCCTCCCTGGGGCAGCTCCGAGGGCCCTGACGGAGACTGAGGAAGCCCTGTCTTTGCAGATCCTGGACGTGGGCTGGCCCGAGCTGCACGCCCCCCCCCTGGACAAGGTGTGCACCATCTGCAAGGCCCAGGAGTCCTGGCTCAACAGCGACCCGCAGCACGTGGTTGTCATCCACTGCAGGGTGAGCCTTTCCCTGGGCCAGCAGTTGCCCAGGGCCCTGGGGTGGGTGCTCGAAACCTGCCCTTCACAAAATGCCCCGCCGGGCCTCCCATCCGTATGACCGAGGCCCCGGACTGTGGAGCAGGACGTTCTGAAACTAGCGGAGGGTTCGGTGAGCAAGTGCCCTTTCGTTTTCATGCATCTCTGTGTCCCAAGAGAGCCCCTTTTTCACACAGAGAAGGGCCCCCCGAGTGTGGTCATTGACTAAACATGGGCAGGATGCCGCTGTCCTGGCCTCAAGCCCTCTCAGCTCCGGGGGACACCAGCTCCTCTTTTGTCTCCTGCAGGGCGGAAAAGGGCGCATCGGAGTGGTGATCTCGTCCTACATGCACTTCACGAACGTCTCGGCCAGGTAGCGGGCATCGTGCTGACCGGGGCGGGGTGGGAGCTGGGCTGACCTGTGCCCTCTGAGACCCAGGCCGAGGAACCCAGCTCCGGGGAAGCTGTGCTCTTGGACAGACGGCGTCCACGCGTGTGTGTGTGTGTGCACGCGTGTGACGCTCACCGATGGCCTCTGCGGGGCCTCGGGGACACCGTGAGCACACTGGCACCCTCACAGACTGCAGGGGACAGCGCCACCTGCAGTTAAAAGTGCAAGAGGCGCCATCTCAGGGCAAACCCAGTGCCTCAGGGGGAGAGGTGGCCACAGGCTGGGCTGTGCACGCCCCGGCAGGGCACCGAGAGGCACTTCGCTTCCTGTTCTCTTGTCCCTCAGTCCCCTGAGTCACAGGAAGTGATGGTCGGGGCTCCCGCTTCACAGATGAAACTGAAACTGGGCGGAGGTAGGCGGCTGGCTCGTGCTCTCGTGGTCCAGGGGTGGGAGCCTGGTCGGGCCCAGTGCCCGGGACATGGAAGAGCCCCTGGGACGAGCTGGCATCGTGGACTGTGGGTGCCACTGTGCACAGACACAAGGAAAGCGGACAGCGAGTCCGGGCCACGGGCCAGGCCCCCTGCTCTGAGCCAGCACGCGGGGCCCCCGGAGACCCCCCCAGAGCCCACGCCGCTCGCCCAGAGCCCAGATGAGAAGCACCGTCCCCGAGGCCCGGCCCTCACGGTGTCCGCTCGTCTCAATGGCCGCTTTGTGCTGCTCCATCTGAGGAAACACAAGCCCGTTCATGTGGCCGACAGACCCTTTCCTCACCAGCTCGGAGCACGAAACCCGACTTCCCGAGTGTTTTCTCTGGAAACGAACTGGGGAGCTGGCGCCTGCCAGGGAGGAAACCCAACCCCCCGGCGAGAGCCAGGCCCCTTGCGCTCGAGGATAATGAATCCTGTGTGCGCCGGGGTCCCGGCCACGGCGAGCCCCTCAGCCAGGCCAGAGGCATTTGGACAGGGACCAGGTTCCCGGCGGATCCTGGACAGAGCCCCCGTGTTCCTGAGCTGGTGCCGCCACAGCGTGGCCCTGTCTGGACCCTCGCCCGTGCTCGGGGGCCGGCCGGGGG